AGAGAGGGAGGAGAGAGGTACACGTCGCGTTTTTCCGCTGTTACATAAATTCACATTTCTCATATTTCGAGAACGCGCAGAATTTTCTCGGTGAGCGCGCGTCTCATCTGCATTTCAAAGATTAGGCCGAGGATTCCGCGGGTTACGATAAGTCGCCGCGCGGCTGTTTCGCTCATTGACGTGGTGTCTCGCGTAAAAGTACCTGTTTTCGTAAATTTCGAGAGGTCTCGCAATAATAATAATTAACGGCGGCAACAACAGTAATAATAACAATATTTCCTTAATTGGCTGCTAAAATCATTATAGAATCGAAAAGTACCGAAAGGCGCGCGCCATCAGCTGTACATTGCCGTTTTGCCGAAATATGTACATATAAATGAGTAACGATAATTAATAAGTAAGTGACAAATACAAACACGTAAAGTTGAATTGTCGTATTGAATCATCGACACCTCTCGCGGATGAGAGTTTTCGAAGAGTGCGCGCGAATCGCGGACGCGCTTTACGCACTCGCGAAATTGGCACGACGACGTCACGACGGCGACTTGTTATTTCTGATATCGTAGCGTTATTGTGGTATCTCCTCTATTTATCTCGATCATGTTTCCAGAGCTCTCCGCGCCGTTTTTACGCGATCTTCCGCCGGTTGCATCGTCAACCTCGATCTTACTCGAGAGTAACTGTAACTCCGCGTTCGCCAGATCTCATGGAAGACTAGATCGTCCTAGATCTTGAATAAATTATGTTTATCTCGCCGCCCAGATTAACAACGTCATATTTGCGGCCGCTTGACCGAGTAAGAAACGCGTCTCTCATTAGAGGCCGTAATTACGATTCTCGTTGTACGTGACTAGTTGATAGCGCAATCGGTAGATAAGTTCCCGAAGCAATTCGCGCGGCTTTACAATGGACGGTAATACGTGAAAATAACGAGACTACGGCGATACTAACGAGGAAAAAACTTAAACTACGAAAAGTAAGGACACACAAGTTTCCCGTTTCCTCTCACGGACGAAATAAAAGCGATAAGTTCTTGTCCATTTTTAAAAGCACGTGTTATCGCGGACGGGGTATACACACGCATTTCATGTCGAAATGTTCCTCCGTTCCCGTCCTCTCTCTCTCTCTCTCTCTCTTTCCGCGCTTCTAAATTCTACACACGTAAATTGTCGCGGGGTTAATGGAAAAACAGTAAATTTTCCGCTTTTTTTTTTTGTGTTATACAACATGGCGCACGACGATACGTACATTAAACGAATAGTCGGGAAAAGCCGGTCGATGTCGCGTAACGTATAGCTTATTCCCGGTACAGTGACAATACATTAAGTTTAATGAATGAATAACCACTCTTTCGTCGACCGCTGCGGAACGACATTTGCTCTTTGCATTTTTCACGACGTCGATGTGAACAATTTGTGTCACTTGGGAGCGAATCTATGGCCTAGTATACACGAGCGCGCGCTGGAAAAACACACACGGCCAATAAATATTTCCTCGTACTCGTGGCGTGACACACACGCGATCGAGGAGTTGCGAGCGGTAATAATGTTACGAATCGCGAGCATTTCGCGACGGCCTCGCGCAACGTGAAAATGCAATTCACGTCCGAGGCATTTCGGCTAAAGCTAAAACGACGCGGACGCGGCGTGAAGGTGCGAAAACGAGATTTTTCCGCCGCGAAGACCGGCACGAAGAATATCGACGCAGCGACATCGCGGCTCGACCGGCGTTTACAGGAGCGGGAAGTCGCCGGCTTAGCCGCCGGAAATGGCTCGCCGTGAACGGCCGGTGCGAAATCCCGCTCCCTTTCCGTCATTTTTCTCCCGTCGCACGAGTGCGTTTTTACGATCGTCCCCGTCAAACGCGCGGTCTCTTTATTACGGATTTGTAAAAGAGCCCCGCGGCGAACGGAAGATACGCGAACGCTTCCTGGGATTCGACGGATTGCGATCTCGCGTTACACGTTCCTGGCTATCGAATAGGAGAGACATTTGCATCGTGACAAATGATCCAGCACTCGTGGCCAATCGAGGCCGTGTGTCGCGCGACCGGGTTTCATTTCCGAGTTAATAATATCGAATGTGTAAAATCACGTCTCTTGATCATTTCCGCCAGATAGAGCAGGAGCAAGGAAGATATATATATTTAGAGAGAGAGAGAGAGAGAGAAAAAAAGAAAGGGAAGGGGGGAGGGGGAGCAGAGAGTTTGATTCTTTTGTGGTATCAAAACCATGAAACTTGGACGAAAGCACCGCACAGGGCGCTTAATTATCGTATATTAACAGACGTAGAGCGGAGTCTACAGTGAGAATTTAAGCTCTAAGCCTTAAGAAATCCCACCAATCACAGTCGATTATTCTCTTGAAATTCGACTGTGATTGATTAATTTCTTAAGGTTTAGAGCTTAAAACACCTATTGTAGGCCGGAACTAACGTGCTCAAAGAGAAAATTACAAGAAATGTTCGCAGCTTGCTCTGCGCTGACTCCTGACTTCTATGCTGCTGCCCATGATATACAGGGATATGTTACAAAATAAATATTATTCGTACGGCGGTGTAATTCTAGATTTTTGTCAGGAAGCACGGTTCAAGGGGAAGGAGAGCGACAGCGGGAGGTCGTGGAAACCCGCGGACTCTCGGAAGGAGCTGCTGCTCTCGACAGCGGACGGGCGTTCGCCGCTTTTTTGGCCGCGCACGGAAGAATGCGTCTCAGCGTGAGATCACCGTGGTGTACCATTGCATTAACATTATTATACCGCGTGGTGTCGCGCGCGTATTCCTCCTCTCCTCGTCCGCTTCGTGGTCTTTGCTCAAGCTTCCGAGCGCCGGAATCGGAGTCGCCGCGCAATTTATGACAAATTCGTTTCCTACGTGCCGTGGCTCTCCCAAAGTCCGCGCCGATCCGCGACGTCGAACGCGACATTGCACAGTGAATATATCCGGCGGCCGAATGTTGACCGCGCGATATGCTAATAAAGCGGATACACACACTAGGCCATTGTGAAAACAACACCTGGCGCGGTGTCGGATTTCCGCCGTCTAGGTGACGACGAAATGTTTCTATTTCGCTGTCAGACGCACGGACGAGGGTGCGTCCGCCGCGAAGACGCGCAGATGGGGCAATGAACCGTCGCGTCGCGTGGCCAAAAAAGGTTGCGTCGTCGTATTATTATTATTATGACGTCGAGCGCGGAGTCTCGGCGTCGTGGCGCGTGTGTACACGAGTGTTTTTCGCGTGAGAGATAATACTAGGCCGCGTTAAGTTTCCTCGACCGCGAGGAAGGCTTCACGTGTCGTCGTTCGGACACCTGTGAATATCGCTAATGGAATCGAATTATTGGTCGCACATTGTATTGCGCGCGTTTGTATACGAAGATGCTCCTTCTTTCGGATGAACGCAGAAGATGACGTTTACGGTGCTCGATAACATCAAATTGCAGGGAGAGAGAGAGAGAGAGAGAGAGAGAGAGAGAGAGAGACTTTCATATTGTCGTGCACAAGTATCATATCGCTAACATATATAATAAAAACTTTATGAAGAAGTTGACGCCTTTCTCGTAAATAATTAATATATGTATAGAGGATATTTCGTAATTAACACTCACTATTATACAGCGTTATTCTTCATAAAAATTGAATCGAAAAGACCTGAGCCATTTCGTCGAAAAATTATTTATTGGTCGTACATTGTATTGCGCGCGTTTGGTTTTAAATTAAAATTCTAGTTAAAGTAGAATCAGTTGTTATCCAATTATCGAATAAAAGAAAGTGAAATAGTGATTGCTTGATAAGAAAGGTGATACAAGTGACTTCTTAGACATCAAAATAGTAACCAAAAATGATATTTCTTTTGTCAAATTTTGAAAATAATTAAGGCCATTTAAGTAAAAAAGTAACATTTATCTTCCCAGATTTATCTTTGGATAATTTAACAGATGACAATTTCTTTTCATAGTATGGTTTGACAGTTCATAACAAGACCAAGGACTATGAACGATACAAGTACGCTTTCGGCAGCAAGCAAAAATATATATAGAACATATATTTTATAAATTTAACGGCAGCTCAGAAAAAAAGTAATTACATAGAAAATTTTGTTTAAATACAGGTCCACTGAAATTTTTGTATCACTTTGACATGCGGAATGTTATAAAGTACACAAATATATATAAAATTAATATGTTTATCTTATTAACATATTGCTTTTTAACTTATTCACTTTATTAAAATAACATAAAAATTTCAGTGAACCGTTATTAAGATAAAATTGTATAATCACTTTTTACTGTGTATAACAATCCATTTTAGGCGATAGTGAATTAAAAAATATGGCCTTTAAATGACTAGATGACAGCGCTGAATAAAATCCGCTTGAAATTAATCAAAGAAAAATAGATTTATTATCCACTTGATCGTTCGAAACGCAGTTTGCGAAAAGCCTTGCTTTTCAAATCGTCTTTATCTCAAACGACTGAGACGTCTCGGCGATATTCCCTCGATACTTTTCAATTCAAATCCTGACGTAGAATAATGGCATGTAAATAATGGGCGTTAATTAAGGAACACCCTGTATATGGATGCATGGATTATAAACACGTGGATGAGTATAATTCCCGATGTTACCAGCGGTGATTACGACCTCCCTCTCTAAGCTCATTACAAAAAAAAAAAAATATCCTCAGGAGTCAACGCGTATCTCTTTCAACGAGAAACACGACGCACTTCCACAATAGCGAGCCCTTCAGTCCCTAATCGCGCAGCACGAGCGCGACGGTAGCCATTCTTAAGGAGCTTAAAGCGATTAAAGAAACAGACTCAGGACGGGGCGGGTGGGGGAGGGACGGGGAGACAAAAGGGTCGAGAAACTGTGAAGCTCGAGCGGGCGACACGCCCGAGCTATGAAAACCGCGGAGATCCCGAAACCTCGCGCAACCTCGCCGCGGCTCAATCTCCCCGGGATCGAGCACTCACCTTGTTTCCATACCAGAATCCACAAGAATGTCACGCTGCGCGCCGTACGCAGGATGATGCTCCGTCGAAGGCGGTGGCGGCGGCGCAGGACGTCTTCGCGGCGCTCCCTGAAAGTGTCGTCGGCGCTGACGATGCTGCTGGTAATGGTGTTGTTGCTGTTGACGCTGCTGCTGCTGCTGTTGTTGCTGCTGGTGGTGCTGGTGACGTTGGACGAGCGACGGGTGAACCTGAATCCGGTGGGTCGCGCCTGGCACCCTCCAGCAGAGCACATATGGGATCACGAAGTCGGGTTTGACCTGCACCAACGGCAGCAGGCGATACTCGATCTCACGGGGGTTGAAAGATACCGATCGGCCGCTCGTGTTCGCGCTGGACCCGCGCACCAAAAGACGACCCTCTCCGTGGAGGACGTTGTAGTTGCGCCAGCCAAGGTCACGGGGTAACATGTCACGAGGACATCCCTGCCAAGCCCGAACTACCGGCCCCTCGTGCGTCTCGCCATGATGTCAGCGATAGTGATTCTTCGTACTTGACGACTGACCGAAGATAGCCCGAGGGGAACGCGAGGATGCTCCGCCGATTGATCAATCCCCGAGGAGGAGGAGGAGAAGGAGTCGGCAAACGGGAGGTTTCCTTCGGCTCGCACAACGACGAGACCTAACAATTGTGCACGACCGTGGGGCGAAACGCGAACGAACGCCTCTCTCTCTCTCTCTCTCTGTGAGACGCTTATTAGCGATTCCACGCGCAGCCGTTTAAATGCACTCGGCAATCGATAGTCTTCGTGCACTCGCGCTGGGAACGTAACCTCAGCGTAACCGCTAACCCCCGTGCGTCGTGGCACTGCGCGACCGGCGCTTTTTCAAGGGTGCCCTCGCGAAATTCTCCCTCGTCCGATCAGGGTGTCAGTGCGACGATCGCTCGCGAACAACGATTTCGGGCGTTCCAGACGGTCGAGGAAGCGACGGCGGCGACGACGAGCGGACTCGGCAGCGTCATCTTCGAGAGCGGGAAGCGCGTGTGCTCGCGAGGAAATTCGGGATCACTGGGAGGACCGGGAGGGCGGCGAGACAGACGCCCGGCACTCCCTTCTCGCGCGACAACACTCCGACCTTAGCATCGACTTCCACGACCGGAGCCGAACGGGCGAGAGCGAACGAACCCAACGAACGAACGGACGTGGAACGAAAGGCGAGAGAGGAACGCAGCCCCCAAGGATCTCCGCGGCGCGCCACGAATTTCAAACCGGGCTGCGCGCGCAATTTACGTGCCTCAGGGCTGTCTCAAAGAAAGGCTGCGAGAGAGGTGTCGACCGGACGGGGGAGAGTCACGTTGTCGCCGGCTCGCCGAATTTTCCAATCGAGCGAGCCCTGAGGCTCCCAAGATCTAACCGCGGAAACTACGAACGACGAGGGGCTGAAGAGGCTAACCGGGAGGCCGACGATAAACAGCGCGTTATTATGATTTGGTCGCTATGATAATTAATTGTTAATACAAGCGATGCTTCATCTGAAGTTAGACCCGCGTCCTTCGTGGATACGTTTCCGACGTTTCGTGAACATCCCGGTTCGCTTCTTCTGGCTGACTCGGGCTGACATTTTAGTTCTACATTAAATTTATTCTAAGGTTTCCTATTATACCCCTTTGATGTTATAAATGCCAAGTTATCTTCATTGTCTCCACTTGGAGACTTAATATGGAACCAAGTGGACTTAATGCAGAAGTAAAATTCCGACTCGGGGCGCTTCTTATCCTCATTGCTCACTTTCGATTCGGACGGAACCGTCATTACGCACAGCGAGAAAAGACCGAGCGGGATCCCCCCCCCCGCGCGTTCGATTCTCCCCCACCGATCCGGCGATTCGGAGAGAAAGAGGTTTCTCAATATATTATACACTTATTAGCTGCCACATGTGGAAATATCGGTGTCTAGCAACGTTAGCGAGCCGCATTCGCTCGCGCGAACAATATCGACGCGGTATCCCACGGCATTTACTATTTATCATTGCGATTACGCGATCGAGCCTCCCGGACGGGATCCGTGCGCGCAGTCAGAGCGACGCTCGCGATCCTCTGGCGGGCGTAAATCGTCGGCGAAGATCGGCGAGAGGCCTGCTGACGCCGCTCGAAAGATATCTGGCTTGGATTCCGGCGAAATTTCAACGCTCCGCGCACCCCGAGCAGCGAGATAATTGACCGTCCGCGATCGGAAGAAAGACGAGGAGCCGCGGCTGGTTAAACATCCGTTTGAGCAATGCCTAAATGTCAGAGCGCAGAAGCTGCGCCGACACCGCCTTGCGAACGCGGCGAAGATTGCGTTGAAATTTTCGCGTTAGTCATTCCCGGCGAGAGAGGGAAAAGGGGAGACTACCGGCGGAAAGCTCGGCGAGACGCGCGCGCGCAGGTGAGAGGCGGCCTTCTTTCGCGGATCTCCCTTCCCCGCCTTGTCTTCCTTTTGTCTTTATCGATGCTCGCGGTCGTCATCGCCGGTTATTACGATTCCGCGCCGGCACGCTTTTCCCATCCGCGCGCGCGCGCGTTCGTATTTCGCGTCGGTACTTTTCGCGCGGACGCAATTACCCCGGAAAATAGAAGCGACATTTTTTTTTATCACTGTTACAATGACGCGGTGAAAAAAGGAATACTCGGGGAGAAAAAAAAATGAGAGAGGACAAATGAAACGGGCGGAAAATAAATCAAGCGCCGCTTGATTAATTGCGATCAGGTGAAATGGATTTTTTGCCGAAATTTCGATTCTCTCATTCCGTGGTCTCGAGTAATTAACGAAACCGCCGGCGGCACTCAAAGCCTAGAACGCTGCAGTTAATTAGAAACATTGCAGCCGGCGGCTACGTTGCGATGATATCCGATAATGTATGAGCGTTCGTCCGCCACGCACCGCTCTTCCTAAGCATCAAAGTCATATCTACGTCGGCCGATGGGACCCGCGACGGCGATTTTCAATCGGCCGATGGCAATTGGCGTTTAATCAGCGCGCCTGGTAGCGCCGCTAATGAGCACGAATCAGCCATGAAATCTCGATTATACGGTTATGCGTGTCCGCGCGCGATGCCGTTAGCCCGATATCTTTCCGCCCGGAATGACACCGCACCTGCACCGGCACCAAAACACTTGGAAATTCCGCAAGAGGATCGGAGGGGAGGGTAAACGGTCGCGAAGGTCGTTGGCACCTGCTCGCGCCGTCCCCCCCCATGCCGCGCGGCAACAACTCTCAGGTGCAGGTGCGTCGCGGAGGTGCGTTACGAACCAAGGATCCGATATGCGACATTTTCTTTTTTTCTTCTTTCTTTCCTTCTCTTTTCGTCACGACGTGAGGAACGCGCGCGAGATTTGCGTGTAACTTTGAGAATATGTTTTTCCTCGAACTGTCGTAATATTTCGCTACTGATATTTCGGAGAAGACCGTCCGTCGATTATTTCCGAAACTTGCGTCGTCGATTACACTTGATAGTTTGTTATGCTTCGAATTGAAAATGACCCGAAAGAAGAATCATATTTCAAGATATTTGCACAAGGAAAGCGCTAGATTCAAGTAAATAATTATTCCGATACTCCACCTTAGCAAATTGTTACTTGGATTAAATAAATTTTACTTAGATCAAATAAATATGTATACTTTACTTGGATAATTTAGGGTGAAAATTTTTTACTTGTATCAAATATTACTTGATCTAAATAAAAGTTAAAAAGTTAATTATTCATTTGTATCTAGCATTTTTGTCTATGTAGGCACGGATTTTAGGCACATTATGCACTGAGAGAAAAAGTACTTACAAATTTTTCTACGGAGGATATAAAGTTTATTTCACAGAAATTTCCCGGAAATAAATCTTACTTCACAGAATCGTTATTTCACAGAAATAAACTTTATTTCCACGAAACAAATCTTGTTTCTGTGAAACAAACTTTATATCTCACAAAAAAATTGTTGAGTACTTTTTTTCTCAGTGTATACTAGAGTAAAAATTAATCGGGGCGTGCCCCAGTTCTGCCATGGCTCTAGGTAAGCACGCCCTAAGATAGGCCTGCCTTCGTTGGGCCTAGGTAATGCCTAGAAAGGCAATTCCTGAATGGATATTTCGCAAATAGGCCCTGAATAGGCACTGACGTGGATGCCCCTAACAATGCCTGCGGCCCGCAGGGCCCGGTCAGAGCTTAGTTAGGTAGATTTACAAAACTGGTTCTAAATTGTACGAACGTTACATTTCTGTGTCGAGCCTAGATAAAAGTAGAGAAAAATTGTATAGAGCCTTTTCAGCGCTGGTTTGAAATTTCTACCCGGAAACTTATCCATTTTCGCCGATCGCCTGATCGGCGAGAGCCGAGGTTTCCTCGAATGATAATTCGTTCGCTGTTATCGCGAAGATTTTGCTTGAAACGTTTCGTCTGTCGCCGAAGTTACGATTTCGATTGAACCGCGCGGTATGTGCGACTGTGAGCCGGCTGAGCTCGAACGCGAGGATCGGATTCGCGCGAGCACCATAATATCACGTTCGCCATTAACCGGCTCTCAATAATATTAACGATACTGGGCAGCAGTCAGATATGGAGTATGGCTGGTTTAATTAACCGCTTAATTGATTAATCTATTAATCAAGAGAGAATCACATCGCCTACGGGACACGCCGCGTTGTAATTCTCATCAACCAATATTTACCTGTTTACCGATCGGTCAGTGTATATTCATGTCAACTTAAATGCCGGCCGAGTGCAATTGTCATTCGCATAATGTGCCCCGCGCACGACCGCACGCATATCGGCCTGTCATTACGCGTTTCGCGTAGAATTTAAACGCGAACGCGGAGTGGTTACGCACGGCGCGCGACCGCAAATTTTCCCACTCGGACTTTCCCTCGCGGAGAAAGGACGAAGGTGCGCTAAATGAATCTTAAGGACGTCTGCTTCTTTATTTTCCCTTCGCGAGAAACACGATTGCAGATAGAGAACCGCGAGAACGACTGTTGTTAAGGTCACTCGCGTTTCTGTAATCCCGCGGAAAATCGAAAGTAGCGAGACGGCGGCGGCTTCCATGGCCGAGAATCTCGATGACACGTAAAACACTTTCCCGAGCCCGACGAGTCGCGGTCGCGCGCGATCCGGAAAAAGGCCGCCTCGTTAACCCATCGTGAAAATGAATTACCGTAATTATCGTCGTTCCGAAACGAGACCGACGATGACATTTCACGTTTATGCTTCACAAAGGCATTCTTCTGCTCGCGCTTCATCGACGATATGTCAGGCGGTTAAAGATCCGCGTTCATTATTCGATCGCGCGGACCTTCGAAGGCAGGAGAACCTTCCTTCTTCCAAGGAACGCGTCGATGGGACTGACCTTCCCCGCGATCGAAGAAACATTAATCGATCCTATTACCGCGAATCTCTGGTGAAGGGGTGAACAGTGCGTTGAAGAATTATCGCAATAATCGGGAAAAAATCCGTGCAGATCATGAGATCACCGCATCTCCGTATCATTACCACACGAAGAAAGATAATTTGCTGACGCAGCATACTTGAGAAAAAAATTGAGGTGCATCGGTAATTGATAAATGTTCCAATTAATTAATGATATTCTATCAGTTACCGATGCAGCTAATCAGTACGTTTCTCGAAAGATAATTTTACACTGTCGCAGCAAAATCTGTCGGTTACTATGTGAACAGCGAAACAATTTGTTAAGTATTAATTGCCATTTGCCGCATTTTGCTAAATATATAAATTATTTTTAATTATAAGAATATAAAAATAATTTAGCAAATATAAGAAATATAATATAAAAGAAAAAATATAATAAGAAGAGAATATAAGAATAATTTAGCAAACACAGAAATAGAAGAATAAATTAGCGGATGTAGGGAAGCATTATTTTGTTTTAACATGTTCTAAATGAACATAATCTAAAGCAAATTAACATGTTTTAAAGATAAATTTAGGAGGATATTTTCAATCTTGGCAACAAAATTGTTTGTGCTCTAGATGGAATATAAAGCCATAAAGAGCCAATACTCTAGTGCCATTTTAAATAAAAAAAATCTTATTATTAATATTAATTGTAGGAGGATGAAATTGTCTATCGTATATTGCGAACATATTGAATTT